CATCGTGTAAGTTTATAAAACATGAAGACGTTATAAAGTGAGGGAAAAAAGGACGCCAAAATGAAGCATTTAGAAAAACCGAGAATGCGGAAAAGTTCAAAATGGAAACTAACACTTTTAAGATTATCAGACATAAATACAAAATATACACAACACACACCGAGCTGCGCGCAGAACATGTTGACATTTAAAAGCTGCCTGAAATACGCCTTCCGTAACATCCCAATCATGATCTTTGATCAAAAAATTAAGACGGAATGCCGATATTCTTCTACTGAACTGCATTTTCAATGATTAAAAGTCTAGGAATGTATGTTTTGGAAATCTCCAAAACCAGCTAATTACAGCTTTTTTCTTCAAAAACAAATCGAAATTTTATAAAATTTTAATCCTACTTTACCATGAATGCAGGTATTTCGAAAATCCCCATAACCAGCTAATCAATCAAAATTTATTCCCAAAAATAATAAATCGAAATTGCATAAAATTTCATTTCCATTTTGGTTAATTTGTATATTACTGCTATGATAAACTGGGAAATTATTGTCAAACAACGCATTAAAAATTACTCTCAAATCTGCACCGAAAGTACTGTTTAGAAAATGAAAATGCTTTGCAAGGAATTAAAAAAAACAGCCTTCTTCCTTTTGCAAACCAGATTTTTGCTCTTACTTTATGAACTCAATGCTTCAGTTTGGGGATGAAACACAGACAGGACAACAGCTAATGCACATACAGGCTCGTTTATCTGGGTATCTAAATTGGCGCTTCCTGCTTTCCCACAACTCTCAATATTTGACTGTGTTCCTCTTATCGGCGGGCCTATGGTGCCAAACAAACTTTCACAGTTTGCATTTTAAAAAATTTCCAAAACACCTCCACTAGTTAGAGTAAATATCGTAAAAAATAGTACTGTTTAAAAGTTACGGAATTATAAAATGTTACAAACTTGAAGAAATATCCGTGAACACTTATCCATGATGGCCCACTCTCAACTGCGC